TCTAAAGCTTTCTGTAACCTTGACTCCGCTCCTCTGTACAAACTCTCACCCGTAATAGCACACACCCGCTACCGCCCAGAACATCACCCAAACCCGCTGAGGCTGAACCTTCACCTAGACCCATAACCGCCTCAACTTCTCCAAACCTCATCTCATCAATTTCTCACCAAGCACTTCTTGAGTTGAAATTTTCTTTTGGATTGTTTTTAAATAGTAATTTTTTTTTGTTCAGCAAGTAGTTCACATATTCCCATGTTTTGATCTATGATTTATGAAAACAATTCAAAAATTTTAATATATCAAGAAAACAGAATCCAATGCAAAAAAATTAGTTTGGTTTGTCAAGTAGTTGTTTCAATTTCACTAAAAGTTTAAAATATATTAAAGTGTAACAAGAATATATAGTTAATGGATTGTTATTTACTTTGAGAATTTGAGCTATATAAAACTTGACCTTGTAGAAAGTAAAATTGTGTGAATCATTAAAAGAAGTTTCTTTACCCTATCACGTACTACAGTAAAATTATGGAAGTAAATCATTAGTATAAATACTTAATGTTGTTTACCTATTACATTACAAGTAAAACATGATGCAATAAAGCTGATAAAGTGTACCAAGTGTGCATTCATATCAAATACTATAGTTTATAATATTATATTTTTACTTTTAGGTAGATAGACACTTGTTTTCCGCTGCCCGCCCGCCCCCAAAAAGATTCCAGGATTGCCACTGTAGACATCTACCGAGTATATATGCCGAACTTCTAACATTTCACGCACTTGTTATGCCCAAGCAAAAGTAATAGATTTTACCTCTTCAAACTTCTAACTAATAGCTCACTATAGATAGAAACATATATAAACTTATTAAAGTTCTATGCAAATCACCATTTTGATGCATTTTCACTCTAAAATATAGTCTTTTGAAAATTGTAATCTAATAAGTACCTCAAATACGTAGCTTAGTCAAGCACTCTAAAATATAGTCTTTTGAAAATTGTAATCTAATAAGTACCTCAAATACGTAGCTTAGTCAAGCATATGTGAAGTATAGAGCACGCGATGGAATGAGGAAGTGACCCGAAGTTGAAATAGAGCCTATAACATTTCAATTTTGGTTACACTTAGGTACTAAATATTGCTAAACCATGCTTCTTAGACACTCGCAGAACATGTATTAGTCTACTAGAAACTTTTAAACTGCGTTTTCAATGCCTTTACACCAAGGTTTTAAATATCGGATGTCGGGTTCATGTCGGACGGCTGAAATCCATGTCGGATAGCGGAAATGTTTTAAATATCGGATGTCGGGTTCATGTCGGACGGCTGAAATCCATGTCGGATAGCGGAAATCGGGGGACATGGACTAAATATCGGATTGCCATATCGGGTGGGCGCATATGTACAATATCATGTCCTAAATGTAATCTAAACATTCTTAAATTCAATATAAGCATACTTTATAAACTTTATAGACTAGACATATAAAAAAGTAAACAATATATGATGTTTAGGATCACTAAAAAATTAAGACATTGAATCTTTCATATTAATTAAACAAGATTAGAGCTAAAATGTAAAGATATAAAAAAATATTTATGCAAGCATTCCCATCATATTAATTAAACAAGGATTATTACCAGAGTTGAATCTTTCATATTCCGAGGATTACTAAAAAAATCAAGTTAGAGCTAATTTTACTTTTAATCCAAAAGAATTATTTAATTACCCACAATTTGCTCCAAGATACAAAAAGAAACTTATGATGATAATTTAGGAAAAGAAAGAAGAGTAAAAAGAAAAAAAGGGAAAGTTAAAAACCTTAGATGCATCCCAAGGGCCAAAACAAAGTCTATCGGGTTCGAAACAGAGAGAGAGAGAGAGAGAGAGAGAGGTCAGACTTCAGAGAGGCCACGAAGAGTCAGAATCAGAGAATCATCTATGTTTTCTTTATCTTTGAGAGAGAGAGAGAAAGAGAGAGAGAGAGAGGGGTCAGAGAGGCTTACCAAAGGAGCTTCGATGGCGGCAGCGCGGGGAAATCCACAGATGAGAAGGCGGCTCCGATGGCGCAGAAGAAAGAGGAGCTTCGGATTTCTGACCACGAAGGCCTAGGGTTTTTGCTGATGTTGAGACCACGAAGGCAAAACGACGAGAGGAGGCCGCTGGTTCCCAGTCGCGAGCGAGAACTAGGGTTTTTCTCATTTTTTCTTTTGATCGGGTGTTTTTCTCCTTTTTCTTTTGATCGGGTGTATTCAGGCGTTGGGGTGTCTATCGGGTTCGAAAAGAGGGCAAGTCATCGACCCAATTAACCCAAACCAAAGCCAATAAGCTGAACCGATTTTCATAAATCTCGGCCGATTTTTCAAATAGGAAAAATCGGTCGATTTGTCCGATTTTTCGCCGACATGACCGATATATCGCCCAAAAACGATATGCGACTTGTATTTCCCCGATTTGTGTCGCTCGACACCTCGATCCGCTATATCGGCCGACATGTCCGACATGTCGGCCGATATTTAAAACACTGCTTTACACTGTGTTTTCAACGTTCGGTCACTAGTATAGCTAAGCAAGCTTCAGCCCTAATAGATTAGACAGACCAAACTGTCCGATTTTTAGTGGTTCAGAGTGGTATTATAGTTAATTCAGCTCAAGTCAGGTTGGAAAAACTTCAACCCCTATTAACGGAAATGATTGTATATTTCTCAAACTCTATCGTCATCCTCTCGATTTTTAGTGGTTCAGATTGGTATTATAGTTAATTCAGTTCAAGTCAGGTTGGAAAAACTTCAACCCCTATTAACGGAAATGATTGTATACTTCTCAAACTCTATCGTGATCCTCTCGTCTCTATTTCTACCATACTTATTGTGAGACCCACCAATGTGGCCTATTCATTTCCTAATATAATTCCGACCAACTCCCTCCAATCATCAAATGAATAAGGTGAATTTGCTCCCCAACTTTTCAAACAAAGTCATCTTCTATGTTTCCTCTTATGAGAGCATCATAAATCATTTGAAAATCTCAAATATCAATAATCTACTTCTATGTCTTCACTTTCATTAACTCTTTTCACAATAATTCTTTGATTTTCCAATTACCATGAGCCACAATGATCAAGCATCCACTTTCTCAGGTGCAGCTATAGCAGCCATGTATTGTTGCTTGGCACTAAGAGTACTATAGCAACCCGAAAAAACTGACCAAGTTGAACCGCAATTATTCAGTTCGGTTCGATTCGATTCATTAAGTAGTTTGGTTTTGTAAGAAATAATTAAAACTGACCAAACCGACAGTTTGCTCACCCCTGGTCACTAGGAGTTATAACCCCCACTTCAACTTCAAGTCGACATTCAACTATGATTTTCAATGTTTTATCATTGAGTCGTATACGCCCATTTCAACTTTAGGTCACTACAAAATTTAGTGCTTGCTTGCTTGGACTTGGATATATATTGTGTAGTTGCAACTACATAAGAGGGTTCAAATCTTAATGTTGCAACTACACTCAAAATGAAGATTGTTGCAACAACATCTTGGCATTGTGTAGAACATCACTGCCTCAACCATTTGGGTAGTATAATACCATCATTGTCATATATTCTTTTTTAAATTATATTTAAAATAGTCAACGAGTATTGATACTTCTACAATAAGATGATGATGTAGTTGGGAGAGCAATTGATCCAAACACATATTGCATTTCCAACCACAAGAAACCAAGCACACCCTGAAGACTCATATTGTAATAACAGCTAGTTGTAACGATGTTCAAATACCAGTATAAAGGTCTATTGAAAGAAAATCACAAAGAAAAGAAATAAAGGGTAATATTCTTAATAAAGGGTAATATTCTTAGGAAATGCTTAGCAACCAGAATTAACCAGTTTTTATAAGACAAAACCTAAAGATCAGACTTAAGCAGTTGTTAGGCCACTTTTTCCGAATAACCAGACCATGAATAATCTAATCTTCATGTCCTGAGTTATTCTGGATTAGGCTGACCCAAAACTAATCTGATATAATATATATATATATATATATAGAGAGAGTAAAACTCCTATCAACTTAAGTGGACGTCCACTAAGTTTCTTATCCGTTGATGATTACTTGATTGAGCTACATTGTAGATGATCCGTTCCGTTGAACTTGATCTACATATTCTAAAACCCCAACACACCAAATTTGGGGTGAACCTGTTGTGGTTTGACCCTTCATCCACTCGTATCAATTTTAACGGTTTTGAATGAATAGAACTTTTTACATGGCTCGACGGAGGGTCAAACAACGACGGGTTCACCCCAAATTTGGTGTGTTAGGGTTTTAGAATATGTAGATCAAGTTCAACGGAGCGGATCATCCACAATGTCGCTCAATCATGTGATTTTAGAGACGTCATAGGAGGAAATCCCCTCCTATGACAAGGATACCCATTAAAAAAGCCGCAAAACATAAAAACTAGAATTGACAATTTTTGTTACGCCCTTTTTTGCCCGATAACTGGGCAAGAAATAGTCCTGAATAAACCTAAAGACTAGACTTAACCCTGTTTTAGAGAAAGGATTGGTCCCGAACTCGAAACCCCGGCCATTATGTACTTCACCAACTTAAATAGCTTTTGTTAGGCCACATATTTCCCAATAGCCCGGACAGGGATACTCTGAGCCCCAGGTGCTGAACTAACATGAAATTAGGCTCTGATGCAGAACCATTCAGCGAGCTAGGTAGCATACTATACACACACAGCGTAGTACCGTACTGTACAAAAAAAAAGAGGGGGAGGGGAGGGGGGGGGAGGGGGAATCTAGTTTCTCGAAGCTAATTTCACGGTTAGCTTAGGATGAAGGATTTCGACACATTATGAGAAAATTTTACGCTACAAAACTGAAATTGAAAAGCTGAAACAGAGAGAATTTTCTCATATCGAGATGAAAAATACTCAATCAATCACAACATATTGCGAAAACGAAAAAAAATAGATTGAAAATTCGTAGTACCTGTGTCGTTCTCGCTGGAGATTGGCTACGCCAGGATGCTCGACTCGCTGGATCTCGACGGAGAGAAATTAGGGTTAATGCGGATTAGGGAAGAGAGATCGAGCCTCTTCTGTCATAAAACAAGCGGGTGTCGGGTTTGAGCCCGGTTACAGATCATGTCCGAACCTGGGTGATAATAAAACTTCACGAAGAAGAAATTCCGCCAATATACCCCAAACTTTTGGGTACTTTCAGAGGGCTAACGAGCAGAATTGACCGGCGAGGCGATACCGTGGCCTCTGCGTGAAAAACATTGAAAAAAAAAATCTGTTTCACCGTTATCTAGTAAAAACTATAGGAAAAATAAATAATATACAGCAGTTAACACCGTGTATATCAAGTTGTTGCAATACAAAGTGAGCAAAAAATACATCAGTTGAGTATTTTGTGTGAGTGATTTTAGAAGTAGATGGGTTTAATAGTAAATGAGCGTAAATCTTCGGATTCATAGATAAAAAAATTATTTTGGAGGTAGATGATCATAATTTTAAATAAGGATAAAACTTTAAGTTTATTGGTTAAAACTCGTCTATAATGCCACAAAATTTGTGTGAGTAAAGACCTAAAGAAATTTAACCATTTGGCTCAAAATATAGAACACATACATAACAACTTGTAGAAAAGTATAGAAAGCTACAGGATAATATAGCAACTTACAACATCTACCAAAGTGTTGAAATACAAAATGCGTTTAAAAATAATTAAAAGAGTATTATGGATCTAAGACTGTTTTTTAGAGGTTGGTAAGTTTTTAAAAATAAATGAAGGTAAAACTTTTGGGTTCATAAACAAAAATCATTTCTAGACTGTTGTGAGTTTTAAAATAAGTGGTGGTAAAACTTCCTGTTTATAGGTAAAAAGATTAGTTAAAATTTGATGACACAACATTAGCATGAAAAAAAAAAGAAAATTTTTAATATTTGGTTTAATAAATACAATGTATGCCTAACTATACGTAGTTAGCAGGTCATAACAAAATATCACAATGGAGTAGATAAAAAATCATTTAAAATTTTGATGACCTTTTAAAATTTTGATGACGCGACATTAGTATGAAAAAATAGAAAATAGTTTAATATTTGGTTTGAAAAATACAATGTATAGCTAAATACTCAGTTGGCAAGTCATAACAGAATATCACAACTCACACTATCTAATTAACTACTAGAATACAAATTGAATTTATAATAACCTAGTGAGTGTTTTGGGTGTAGGAATGATTTTGGTAATGAGTGGGTTCAAAAATAAATAAGGGTATAAGTTTGTAATTACAAGGAAAAAAAAGACCTTTTTGGAAGCAAGCAGGTTTTAACAATATGGAATAAATCGGTTGGTTGAAGTATTTTGAGTTTAAGAGTGATTTTGGATATTTCTGGATTTAAAAATAAAAATTTGGCGGGGAAGGGGTGAGAGTTTTGATTTATTAGAGAAGAAAGGTAAAGTAAAACTAATTAGGCTAAATACTGGGTTTATAAGCAAAAGATGTTTATATTACACCTCAGCCTCTTATCATATTATCTTATTAAAGCCTATGAAGTTGTTGTGCGTAGCGGGTGCTCGAAAGCCAAATAGTGCACGAATAAGAACAAGATAAATCACAACCACACAAGCAAAAACACAATCACCACAGCAAGACAACGAATTTTACGTGGTTCGGAAAGTTGTCTACGTCCACAAGGCAAGGAGGGAGGAGTTCTTACTATTAGAGATGAAGAGAATACAAAATAGGGTTACAAAATCACTCAAAATCCTAAAACCAAGCTCTCTAAATCTCTCACAAATCTCTCACAATAGGATGCAACAATTCTCTCTCAAAAGCTGCTCAAAAACGTCCTTACTTAAACCCTAAAAGTCAACATATTCCTATTTATATCAAACTCAAACATAATGCAAACAGGAATCCTAATACAACCTGAAATAGCCTATAAGTCGACTTAGCAGAGGGCACAAGTCGACTTACCATAAGTCGACTTAATAGTTGCCATAAGTCGACTTAATAGTTGCCATAAGTCGACTTGACCGAGCGCAAAACAACAACTAGAAAACAAAAAGTAAGTCGACTTATTAGTCTCGATAAGTCGACTTGACAGAGACGAAACTAGCAACTAGAGGGTAGAACGTAAGTCGACTCGTGCACGGACATAAGTCGACTTGTCATAAGTCGACTCATGCGCAAGTTATGCATGTGCATGAGTCGACTTATGAAAGAAAACCCAGTTTTTTGCTTTTTTCTTGAGTTCTCCACAAATCTCCACCTCGGTGAAGTTTCTTCCAAAACTGAACCGACACCAAATCATCCAAATGTCCCACTTGTTGCCACTTGTTGCGTCCAGTACGAAGTGGAATCAACCCACGATAACGTACTCATTCCACAACAAGTCGGGAACCCCAAACGAGAGCTCAAACAATCTCCCCTCATCGAAATCAACAAATCCAACCTCGGCTGCATCAAACATGACTGTCTACGTATCATCTATCCCAAGGAATCAAGCCGAACGTAGTTCACCCAAATGGCCTCCAAAGGCCCTCAACATTGAAAATGTTCAATAGCTTCAAACAATGACCAAATTTCACACCTGCAACAACTTTGGTTAACATATTCGCAGTGTTGTCCTTCGTGTGGACCTTCTCCAATATGACGTCTCCATCATCCAAAACACCACGAAAAAAGTAGAATCTGACATCAATATGTTTCGTGCGCGCATGATAAACCTAATCCTTTTCTAAATAGATAGTCGACATGCTATCATAATATACCTGAATGGTCTCATGTGTAATCCCCAAGTCCTCCAACAATCCATGCAACCATAAAACCTCCTTAACAGCTTCAGTCACCGTTATATACTCCGCCTCTGTAGTAGAGAGAGCCACTATAGACTAAAGTGTACATCTCTAACATATCGGTGCTCCTGCCAATGTAAATACATATCCTGAAGTAGACGGGTGCTTGTCAAGATCCCCTGCATAATCTGAATCCATGTAGCCAATAAAAATCCTGTTCATTCTTCTCATCCTTCTAAAAAATCAAACCAACATCCATGGTGCCTTTAACATACCGTAGAATTTACTTCACGGCCTCCCAATGACCCTTCCCAAGGTCGTACATGTATCTCGATATCATACTCACGGCCTGTGACAAATCTAACCTCGTACATACCATCACATATATCAAGCTACCCACCGCACTGGCATATGGAACCTTCGATATGTAATCTCTATCCTCAATTGAAACATGTGACATATTAGCTGAAAGCTTGAAGTGGTGAGCCAATGGAGTACTCACAGCCTTTGGATTACCATCAAACCTGAATTTCTTTAACATCTTCTGTAAGTAACTCCCCTGTGTAAGCTTTAATCTCCCCTTCACCCTGTCTCTCTTGATCTCCATGCCTAATATCTTCTTAGCTTCTCTAAGATCCTTCATCTCAAACTCGGATGACAGCTCCTTTTTTAACTTTCGAATAGCCGAATAATTCCTAGAAGCAATAAGCATATCATCAATATATAATAATAAATATATATACTCACCATTCTGTAGTTTATGCATATAAACACATGGGTCATATGGGCTTCTTGTGTACCCATGGTCAATCATGAAGCTGTCGAATCTCTTGTACCATTGTCTCGGCGATTGCTTCAAACCATAAAGAGACTTCTTTAGCTTGCACACTAGATCCCAGTTTGGCGTTCAGGACTCTAACTCCGTGTTTTAGAGTACTGGAGACGCGGAGTTGGGTGTTGACCGAACATCGAAAACGTGAGGGTCGTTTGTGTTTTGCTTGTTGAAGCTTGGAAACACGAGGGTTACTTGCGTTTTGCTTGTTAAAGATTGGAAACACGAGGGACACTTGCGTTTTGCTTGTTGAAGCTTGGAAACACGAGGGTCGCCTGCGTTTCAGGAATTTAAACGCGAAGATGAATTCCGCGTTTAAAGTAGCCTAGTTGACTTGTAACCTCTTCGTTGATTGTGAAGACCACTGAATAGAGTTTTCATCAGCTGTCGGAAGCGTCATTGATTTGTAACTCTTCTCGATCTATGTGAAAAGTCCTCCATTTGCAATTCTTATTTATTGACACGAAAGTTATCTGATTGTAACTTTCATCATCGAGATATAGGAGTCGTCGGATTGTAACTCTCATCATTGAAGCTTGATGGGGATCAGCTATCTATTGTGATTTTTAAACAGCCTACAGAACCCTCTCCAAAGTTTCTGAAAGTTCGCGGTTGACTAGGATGAATTTTTGAAATACTTTGGATCTCAACTCTGATCTTGGAGATGTTGATTCCTTGTCACAAAGGAGTTGTTCTCTGCACTCGCTTCGAAGGCATCTTGGTTGAAGGGATTCGCCACGCAGGACCTGTATGAAGGTATGCATCATAATCCTGCTTCTAGAATGTGGGGGATGAACCTTGCGTTTTGAACTTGAGACGTGGGTCTCACCCTTTCATTTTTAATTTGGAACTCGGGTGTGACCTTGGCGTTGTGGTTTTTGCAACGCGGGTCTGACCTCGGTGTTTTGACTTAAGACGCGGAAGTTGCTTTCATGCATTTGTGACTAAATCTTTGAGAGTTATCTTTAGCTCATCTATTTCAAGTCTCGGCTCATATCCATTAAGTTAATGGACCTACAAACATGCATAGGATTTTTGGCAAACCCTCAGCCATTAACGGATTTGATAAGCCTTTACCGACTACCGTTTGAGTCGGGCTAGCATGTGGATTATCTAAGTCCGTTCCACATGTAACATTGTGCTAAGAGAATGAGCCCTTTTAGACTTGATGCTATGCTTTTGAATACACAGACTTTATCATTTTTACGGGAAAAGACTAATAGGCAACGCGTGTTAGGCGTAGACTTATCTCTAATTAGGGATCAAGATAAAGTCTCACATGCATAAAAGGTATGGATTTTGGTGCTACGATGTTGAATATGTAGACTCGGTCATTTTCGCGAGAACGGACCACCCGGCAGCGTGTGCGAGGTGCAGACTTATCTCTATTTAGGGATCGAGATAAAATCCCCCATGTGTGTAAGGCATGGATTTTGGCGTTATTAATAATGACCTGCCATGATGTTGAATACATGGATTTTTATCCTTTTTACGGTCAAAGACTAAACTGCAACGCGTATTAGGCGTTAACTTATCCCTACTTAGGATTCGGGATAAAATTCCCCATACATACAAGATATGGATTCAGAGATTATTAATTTAATGATAATCACTGACTACGATATTGAATACGTAGACTTGGTCACTATTTCTTCC